TCTTTGGTAGTCGAATATGGCGTAGTATGGTATGAGTATGCCCATAAAACTTCATGGAGTTTTTCATCCCACATAACCTATGTGTCTTCTAGCTTATTCTTTATTCTATCTAGTATTTCTTTGTTTGCTGATTCAGCTTGGCCATTGGCATAGGGTGAATGAATGAGATGGATTTTGTATGTATTCCTAATTCATGGAAAAACTCTACTACATTTGTGTTGGAGAATTGGCTTTCATTATCTATGATGATGATTATGGGTAGACCAAATCTACATATGATCTGCTGCTAATAAAAGCATTGTACTATCTCAGTTGAGATCATGAAGATCTCATCTGCCTCTATCCTTCTTTTTTTGAAGTAATCCACCCTCGCAATAAGGAATTTTAGTTGTATTGGAGACAATGGGACAAGACCCAATATATTCATGCCTTACTAGTAAAATAGCCAGGGAGAGGTACGAAGTGAAGAACTCGGTCGACGTGTGACGTTGGTTAGAATGTATTTGGCACTTGTCACATTTTCTCATAACTTATGCAATATCTTTCAACATGGTGAGTTAATAACAATCCTCCCTTAACAACTTATGGGTGAGAGTGTGCCTGCTGATATGATTTCCATAAGTTCTTTGGTGGACCTTAGTGAGGACCAAGGTGATTTCATCCTCCCCTAGGTACCTTATCATATAAGAATCCCTTCCCATTTTGCATAGTTTTCCAGCGATAATTGTATATTTGGTGGTGAACTTTTTTGAATTCTTTTCGTTGCACCCTCATTTGAGGGGAGCTTATCAGTGTCAAATGATGTTTTATGGGTATCATCCAACTTGTAGTCTGTTGACTTCAATGCTGTTTATTTCCTCTATTTCGATGTTAGGGGCAGTTATTGTATGATTATGACTTGTATTTTCAGTACTTGTAAGGTTTTGGAGGAGATATGTTCGAGAATTTTTTTCCTTGGGAACATATATCATTTGAAAAAGAGCTTGAAACATTCATATAAGTTTCATACCTTGGTGAGATATTTGATCAATTGGGCTTTCTTTTTTTTGATACACTTAAGAAACATAATTAGCGACTAATTGTGAGTCACTCCTGGCCTTGATATTTGAAGCTCCCATTTCAAGGGCGAGATTCATGCCAACTGTGATGCGCTTTATACTCATCTTGATTGTTTATGGCTTTGAACTCAAATTTCAGTGATTACTTTATGAGGAGGTCGTTTGGGCCTTCTAACACTATTCTAGGACAAATAATTATTTAAAGTGGTGTCCAATAATGATACCCAAACATAGGGAGTTTCATTGCCCACTGCAAGTTGAAATCCTTTAGGAAATCAACCAAATTTTGCGATTAAATACTACCTCAAGGCATGTAGTGAATATCATACTTGGATAACTCAAACGAACATGATACCATCCTTCCCGCTAAATTTGGCTTCTTCAAGATTTTGCTAATCATATAATTGGTTTTAAACATCATATGATGTCCCTAGAAGTAGGGCATGAGCTTCCTTACTATAACTAAGACCTTAAGTGATAATCTTTCAATCTTTTTATATATTTCTTCAGCGCCTTTTAAGACCTTGCTCATAAAGTACATTGGTTATTCGTCTTTGTTTTTCCCTTAAACGAGTACAAACCTCATCGCCCACTACATGGCAGATATGTACAAATAAATGGTCATATCACCTTTAGGGCACATTAATATATGAGGTGTCACCAGGAAGATTTTCAACATGGTGAACGCTTCCTCGCACTTGCTTGTCCATTTAAACTTCTGCTTCATTTTTATAGTGGCGAATAAGTTGAAAACTCTATCACATATACTGAAAAGAAAACAAGATAGGGAAGTTAGGCGCCCTAATAGTTTTTACACCTCCTTGATAGTGGATGAGCTCCTCATATTGATAATGGCCTGACAATTGTCAAGATTTGCCTCTATTCCCTTTCTGGTTAGCATGAACCCCGTGAATTTTCACCCCAAATGAGCATTCAATTGGGTTCAAGTTCGTATTATATCTTTTGACTGGCTCCACAATTTTTTCCAATTATGTAGAGTGATTTATCTATTTCATAGTTTTTACAATCATATTAGCGATGTAGAGCTCCAAGTTCCACCCAATTTAATATAAGAATATTGCATCCATCAGGCTTTGATAAGGGGCGTCTGCATTCTTTAAACCAAGCGACATGATATTCTAGTAATAGTTCTCATGGTTGGGTTTGGATGACGTTTTGGGTGTCTCCAAAGGGTCTATTTTACCTTATTGTATCCAAAATAGGCGTGCATGAAGCTCAATGTCTTGTACCCCAACAATCCATCAATTAATTTATCGATATTATGCAATAGTTATGAGTCATTAGGGCAGGCGGTGTTCAAATTGGTGAAGTAAACACACATTCTCCATTTTTTATGCCTTTAGAACCAAAATCACATTGGCCATCCAAATCAAATATTTGAACTTTGTTATAAGCCTGATGCCTTTTAGCTTTTAGACATCTTCACTTGCGATCACTTTCTTCTTTTCGCCTACTTTGCGCTTTCTCTGTGTTACAAGATTTATTGTGGAGTATATGGCGAGACAATAACATACCACCCTTGTATCAATGTAGGGCATATCTGAGGGGGTTCTGGAAAACAAGTCAATGTTCATTCTTAACGGGGCGACTGCTTCTTCCTCCATAACTTTCGATAAAGAGATCTCTAGTTTAGTGGTTTGAAAAGCTCGAGGCATAATTTGGGCCTTGTTTAGATCTTAAGATTGGGTTGAGTACTTGATGAAGAGAAATCTATGATAAATAAAAGCAATTTCTCATTTCACCCTTATAAATTATTTCAGACCCTACACGAAATTCCTAAAATTCCCCCTATTTTTCAGAGATGCATCTCCGGACGCACCAAAAATCATTTTTTCACAATAAATTTATAGATACATCTTTGAAGTCTTAGAATAGTGCGTTTGGAGATATATCTCTAAAAAATAACTAATTCCAAAAATCATACATCACGAATGGAAACATGAGAACATAATAAAAAACATACCAACTCCAACATCAACATTTCATTAAATAAAAACATTCATTACATAAATAGTAACTAATATGAATTCAACATTACATAACCATTTCATTGGGACGTTGAAACGTAATGATTATATCCTCGACGAATTTTTGAATCTTGGCATCAACTTTAATCAGACCCTTTGATTCACAACAAAGAAAAATACTCCACATAACCTTTAGATCTTCATCACTCTTCAGTTCAAGGTTGGTGAAATGGATATTCCCTTCGTTGTCATATGAGGGTGACCGATACTCGAGCTTGACAACTCTACAATTTTCTAGAATTGCAACAGAGTATTCGGTTTGAATATCAGATCCGCGAGCAATGTTTCCTCAGTATTCCTAAACGGAACCAGTGATTTCTCGTCATTGAAATACACAAATGCAATGTAGGATATGAACTAATTCTCTCTAATTTTAGTGTGTTGGTGCAACTAATAAATGTTGAGACATACCTTATTTATACAAGTATTGAGTCACTTTGGACCTCAAAATGCTTATCATGTATCAAGTAAAATTTTGGAATGACATATCCGAATAAATAACACGTTTTATTACAAAAATGGTGACTTCAGAGTTACATGTAAGGTGGTCATATACTCAAATTTCCGCTGGACATTTTCGAAAATACATATCCGAAAATATTACTGAATGATAAAAAAAATTCCCTATAGCAAAGGAGACTTCATACATGCATCTCCAAATTTACCCTAGGGGGGGGGGGGGGGGGGGTATTCTGAGATGCATCTCCGAATTAAATTTTGCCAAAAAATAGTATTTTGTGCGTTCAGAGATGTATCTCCGAATTCATCTAATGACAATTTCAGACTTTCAGAGGTGCGTCCCATATAACAAGGGTGAGATGAGAAATTGCCTTGATAAATTATGCTATTTTTAATGGTCCCATACGTCAATCCCGTGATTCATTTAATCCGTTAATTTAAAATATATATATATATTTAAAAATTTATCACATTATTACTTTTCGTTTAATTAACAACAAAACAAAAAAAATTTAAAAATCAACCACTAAATTAATCGTTAAGAAGATAAAAAACTAAAATGATATGTTTTAAAGACCTAATGAAATTTATTAAGGTAAGAGATTCAAGATTAAGACCAAAATTGTGTGTTTTTTTATATATTATATTTATGTATGTAGGGGTGGCAAAACGGGCCACCCCACCTCGCCTCGCCTCATCCGCCTTAAGTCCGTTAAAAAATGAGTGGGGCGAGCAAGCCTGCCAAATAAAAATGGACATAAAAATCTAGTTCACTCCGCCAAAATGGCGGATTGGCGGGCGGCAAGCTTGCCCACTTACTTTTTTTTTCTTTCATTTTTTTTAATATATTAACAGTTTTTTTTTTTATATTTCAATCGGATTTTTCACTTATTTTTCAGAACAATTTCTTATAAAGCATCATTTTAACAAAATTTATTTAAAAAAATATTACATATATTCATAAATAAATGTATAAAATAAAATCATCAAGAATTAAACCTATTAGAATTAACTAAAAAAGAGCGGACGTAAGGTGAGACAAACTTAACGAATAAGCGCGGCGGACTTTGGCGGACAACGAATTTTAGCGGGACGGACTTTGATTGACGACGGGTCCAAAATTCCAATCCTATCCATCATTTTTTGGCGGGTGCGCAAACTGGCTTGGCGGGTCACGATCCATTTCGCCACCCAATATATGTATGAATGCATAAATGTGTAAAATGTCTTTCTATTATAAATTGAAATATAATATTTTTTTGACAGAAAATAGAAATAATTTTATAATTAAATAACATTTTACTTATAATTTTTATTAACATTTCTCCTCTCATAATTTAATTTTTTTTTCAAATAATATTTCTTAATTTTTATTTTATTTTAAGGGTTTTGGGTTTAAATTAGGCATTTAGGTGTGGTTGGAAAGACAGAACAGATGTTACGTTCGTTTTCATCTTCACTTCACAGAGTTTCTCTTTTCATGGCATCAGAAAAACCTCAACGTCTTCAACAAAGTAACTCTCTTTCTTCCATCTTTCTCTGTCACTTGATTTCGTTACAAACAATTTTAATTTAATTTTCGATTTTCGTGTTTTGAGCAGTTGCAGGAACCAATTTCCAGAACACAACAAAGAGGGCAAAAACCATGGCCACTTCCACTGCAAATGCAACAGACTCTGCTATGAAGGAACCTTTTACCAATTATGTTGAATATATTAATAACCTTGTAATGTTTCTTATCTTTCATTTTTCTAGATTTGAATGTGAGTTCATTGTGGAAATAAGTGACAAAACTAACTTAAGGTTTAAAGATTTGATTTTTATTAGTTTTTATATTTGGGGTGTGGATGTGGTGAGGTTTTGAGAAATAGATGTTCTCATTTAGGTTTACACCTCTAGAATAGGCGTGTCGCGGTGGTGTCTGTCCGATTGTATCTAGTTCATTATGTTTGGGGGGAAGGGAAAGAAGAGGGAAAGTCACTTTCACTTTCACTTTTAGATAGTTATAAAATGTTAAGAAAATGAGTAAGGGAGGATGGCCTCACAATGAAAAGTTTGGTCTGATAGAAATGTTTGATGTTTTGGCTGGTGGAGAGGGTGAGTACTGTTGAAGAAAAAAAAACATCACCTTATAGTAAAACAATTTTCTGGTTTTATCTCCTCTTAATATGGAACTTGGGCTTAGAAGTTGGTTATTTATTGAATAAAATAATTGAGTGTGAATGATTACAGTGCAACCGAGAGCCAACTGACTCCTACCTTAGAATAGGTTCTCCTTACTCTAACCACCAAGAATACATGATCCCCACTCTCCCACTATTCACGCTTACTCTCAGCACTACTAGACTTAGGGATTCTATCATAAATGATCTACATACTCTTGACTTTTGTGGATGTATGATGTCCATTCGGATGTGCCTTTGCGGCTTTGGGGTGTGCAGGCCTCTCATTGGGAGGATTGGGCCTTGCACACGATCCCCATAACACGAGGATTGGAAGGTTAAATGCCAATCTCTTATTTTATTCCTTTCATGATTCAACTAACGAGAATGCTCACTCGAAAGGAAATTTTTTTCTCCGTATTCAATCATCCATAAAATACATGCAGCTTGTGACCGAAAGAAGTTGATACGGTGGAAAAATTGATAGATCGTTAACTGTTAAGTGTATTTGGAACGAGAATGTTTAGATCTTAAACCTTTTGGTTATATGTTTGTTCCTTCTCTCAGCTTTGGTCATTACTCCGTTATTACTGAAGTGGAACATTTTATCTGAAAGAGTCTCTGTCTCTCCTAAGATTTGATTTTACTGTATTGTTGTGCTTAAAACAACATTTGGCGCACAATACATACTACCCCTTCATATAAAGTTTGGATTCGCTGATAATATTTAGAAACTGACTTTACAATAATTGGAACGCTTTTGAATTGGAAGTATATAGATATTGAGTGAGCTATGAATATCATGTAAGCCATTCCCTTTACAATATTGCTGCATACCATTCAATGCCATTGACTGTTATTTTGAAACTTTTGTAAACCTGTATACCGTATTTGTAGAATGATAAACGGGAAAGAGTGGTGAAAGCAAGTCGTGATATAACGATGAATAGCAAAAAGGTCATATTTCAAGTGCACAGGTTACCTATTGATTTTACATCTTAATCTCTTCAAGTGCACATGTGATCTTTATCTTGTCTTACATACCATATTCTATTTTTTTTAACAAGGATGAGTAAATACAATAAAGTGGAAGTACTTGAGAAAGCAGAAAAGGATTTAGCAGCTGTGACAAACCAGTATGTGTCTCGACTAGTCAAAGAACTGCAGGGAACTGATTTTTGGAAGCTAAGACGAGCCTACTCACCTGGGGTATACTTTCAGTTACTTTCTTGTTTCAATGTTTGAGTTCAAATACTTTTATCTGATATTTTTGTCGGTGTTGGCAGATACAGGAGTATGTCGAAGCAGCTACATTCTGCAGTTTCTGTAAAAACGGAACTCTTTTGAAGCTTGATGAGATTAATGACACATTGTTACCACTCAGTGATCCTTCTCTTCAGCCTCTGCAGATAAACATCCTTGACTATCTTTTAGGGGTGAATTTCTTTCTCGGTTTTTACTGTTATCCAAGCGATCTATTCATGTTGTTGACTATTTAATATAACAAACCCTGACAGTGACACAAAATTAACACCTCAACACCAATAATAATTTGAGAAATATAAATCATTGAATAGTTCTGACACAAACACCTGACAGTGACACGACACTGACATCTCAACACCAATATTAATTTGAGAAAAATGAATAATTGAATGTAATTACGCGTGTCGGTGTTGTGTTAGTTTCGTTGTTTTAGACATGGACACCGGAAATGTCTTCAATCAGTATCAGTGTTACATAAGATACAACATTTTAATAAGGGCAGCTTCAATGGATTCCTAAGTGCTTGATTTGTTGTGATGATTTCTACAATTCTGTTTGCTTTTATTTCTCCCTTGCTAATCTTTATATGTAGGTGAAGTAAACATTCAACTTAATTATGCTTACTCTCCATAAGGTTCTCAATATTCTGTTACAGCTTGCAGATTTGACTGGAGAGCTCATGCGGTTGGCCATTGGTAGGATATCAGACGGTGAACTTGAATTTGCTGAGAAAATATGCAGTTTTGCACGCGATATATATAGGGAGCTTACACTCGTCGTGCCACATATAGATGATAATTCTGATATGAAAACAAAGATGGATGTCATGCTTCAAAGTGTCATGAAAATAGAGAATGCTTGCTTTAGTGTTCATGTGAGGGGGTCAGAGTATATTCCACTTTTGGGATCAAATGATTCAAGTTCATTCTTAGTAGGAGTTCAAGATATTTAACTATGAGGTATTTCATTGTTCTTAGTTTACTATATTTACCTCTTTGTTCCTTTTTCTAATGCAAAGATGTTTCATTCTCTTGTACAGGTTATCTATTGGAAACAAAATGAAATCTATGTAGATGAGTGATATTTACCGTGACTTGCAGCGAAGACGATGTGTATGGTTGTCATTTTATTTTAAATGTTGAACATGTCACTTAATGTTATTAAGCTTGTTTTCTTAGTTTTCTCTTAGATTTAAGAAACTTTGCCATAAAAATAGAATTATGCTACCATATGAGTATTTTAGTTTTTAAACAGAGACTAATATAGGTGTGTCCAAGCTTTGTTTTGAAATGTAGTAGTTTTAACTGGATGAACCATGGCTATCCACATCTTACATTTATTTTAGAGTTATTTTGTGTAATTGAAGTAGAAGGCCAATTTATGGTGGGGATGAATCATGAATGATAAACAATTAGTAGATCTTACTCGAGAATTTTCAGGTGTCATCTCCACAATTAAACATGACACCCCCCAAAAGTTATACTTTATTATATTACCCTCGCATATTAAAAAATCATTTCAATATTCATTTATAAGATTTTGATTTTTTTCGAAAAGCTCCCTTTCTTACCGGATTTTTCATTACCACTACCGAATTTATAACAAGTATACAATTTACCCTTTTTTTTTTTTAATTTTAAAAAACATGCATTTTTATTGGTATTTTTTAAATGTTTGGTAAAAACTCAGGTTTCTTGTGCATTTTTAATGGATATTTTGAAAATATCGGTAAAAATGTATACTTTCTATTGGATATTTTGAAAAAATCAGTAAAAATGCTAGTTATATAAATTATTTTTAAAAAATTGATAAAAATGCAAATATATTGAATTTTTCAAAAAAAACTAGTAGTAAATTTTTTTAATATGTTTAATCGAATATTTCAAAAAAATTAGGAAAACCATATGATGATTTTTGGATATTTCATCGGACGAGACGATTGCTTCTAAGTAGCGAGACCGAGCTGCATCGAGGGCTCGTACGAAGGCAGATGACGTCTAAGACTCGTATATGGGTGGAGAGAGTATGCCTTATTGGTTCTCACAAAAGGCGAATGGCTGACTAGGCTCGCACACTTTGCGGTATCAAACGTAGATGATCTAGAGTTGATGGATGGACCAAAGATCTTGATGATTAGCCTGTTGCTGCAAATGTTGAGGATGTCCAGGTAGCATTTGAGGATGTGGAGGGTCAACATGACAGTCAAATGGTAGCTGAGATATAGGTGACTCATCATATTGAGACACATGCCTTAGTTGATATGGAGGTAACTACTCAGGCTAATATAGAGGTTACTCGTCCAGTGAACATAGAGGCTACTGCTCTGACGGATACAAAGGTCACTGCTCTGGCTTCGACGGAGCCATCTGTACACATAGATGGATAGTTTTCTGGAGGACACAATGACTGTTCCATACTCATTGGATTGGTCGACCATGTGACATTGAGATTATAGCAGTGACCGTAATTTATGTTAATTGTCATATGTTGAACTTGATTTTATTTATTTTTGATAAGTTAAAAATAAATGATGCTTTTATACTTTGTGTGCTATAGGACCGCTTGCCGCTAAAGGTACCCCCACGTCCCCACTCACGGAGGAAAGTTAAAGAAGTTCTTAGATGTCTTGATGCCTTGTGAGGTCAGGGAGATTGTCGATGATTGCAGTCTCCTTTCATTGGTGGACTGTTTGTTGAGAGGTGCATGCGCCAATTTGTGTATGTCTAGGACATCCCATGACCAGTCCCTCTTATGCCAACTGAGCGTATTGATAGATAGTTTGTAGGTAGCGTTGTCAGCTTCTCCCGTGCCATTGTTGATTAGGAAGTGGAGGTTCAGTTCTCTGCGTAGTGTGTATATGGTTACTTAAAATGGTACCTTACTGTATCACACCCTCACATCATCCCACCAGTTGAGCATGCATATGATGCTTGAACTTCTGATGGCGTGCCACCGCCTCCACCTGGTGTGTCTGACACCAACATCGTGTGTAAATGATAGTAGTCATCATTGATAACCTCAAGGGTTTGGTAAACCTAAATGGTGAGGTTTATTCTTTTGCATTGCATGCAACACACATATCCCGTGAGGACGTGTGTAGATATTTTTTTTTTGGTATTATTTGTTTATTATTTGTATTATTACTCAAACATTTGTATCGTATAGTTTATTAGATAATACTTTATCACTTTCATTATTGGGTAATTAACATATAACTTAACACTTGGCAATTACATAACTTAAGACATGACAATTAACATAAATTACGATACAATTACATAACTTAACAAAAAAATAATAAATAGTAAGACTTAGACACTACTAGATGATTTTAAACATTTCAACATATTGATTATGTCGTCGTGATATTTAAAAATTATCGCATCAAACTCGATCAATCCCCTTGTTAGTGTGCGGTGATATGTTCTCTACATAACCTTCAAATCTTCATCAATTTTAAGCTCAATATGATTGAATTTCACCTTTACATCATTATAAATGTATGGTACACGAAACTTGGTCTTACCCACCTCTCTGTTCTTGGTGTCAGACAAAATATTATTCAATTTGAATCTCAGAAGAGCGAGACAAGGGATGTCCTTCAGGAGTCCAAAATCAACAGGAGGTTTGTTGGGTGAGAGCATGGACTAATAACGGTCTAGAAGGGGGGGGGGGGGGGTGAATAGACCTCTCTAAATAAAACTTTTGTTTGAAAAATATTTTTATCAGATTTTGAAAAATAATACGTTTTGTGTAGTGGAAATAAAGTTTTCCTAAAAAAGAGATTATGCTTATCGATTAAAAGTTATGTGAGTGTCCTTAAATATTTCACAATAATAAAATTGAACAATTGAATTACACCAAAAGTTACAAACTAATTGTATTACACAATCACAACAATATTACAAGTGCTCGTACAATCACTAGTCCACAAATAAAATGCTGAAAATAAAATTTCTTCTATTATGGATCTTGACTTGCACACATCTCCATGAACTGAACTCTATACGGAATTTTTACTCGAGACTGCTTCTTGAATTTTCCAACCCTAACAACCTGCTACTAAGTCTCTGTCTATGGAAATTTCCATACAATTTCGTCGGTATCTTGAGCGTTAGTTTGTCCGAAGATCCAAAAAACTCCTACCATGTCCGTAGGCTTCCACACAATACTACCAAGGTCAACCTGGAGAGAAGAATCTTCTTATTTTCCACTGGAATTGTCACAATCAGTCACAACACCACACAATCTTGCAAGCCTTTGAAATCCTAAACAAATCTTCAAGGAAACGTTAAATTTAAAAAACGAATCTCCTCAATCAATTACAAATCTATCAAGATGAGATTCAGATCCACGCAACAATGAAAAAAAGAGGTAGAAGATGAAAGAAATCATTTGCAAGTGCTCAAAAAAAAAATTCAAAACCCTTTTGAAAATATAAGAACAAGTGGTTTGTGAGTTTTCAAATTATCAATGAAATAATGTTTTCTAACATTATTAAAGGTTTATAGAAGAAAATGATTTATAAGTGTTGGAGATGAAGCACAAAAAGAAGTAAAAAAATTCATATTTGATTTGTGTCAAAAGCATTTGGTGGTTTGAGTCAAGTTGGCTAAGTGACGCTGAACAAGATCAACACTTAAAGAGAGACCCATTTTTTTGTGATTCGACTTACAACAACTAAGGCATGATTTAACTCACTAGGTCATGATTTGAGTCAGGGAATGGTCATGATTGTTAGACGATAGACTACGATCTAGAGGGGAGGGGGTGAATAGATCGCAAATGAAAATTTCTTATTAAAATTTTGTTTTAAATGTTTAACTATGGCGTGTAGAAACAAACCCAGATCGATAATCGTCTATCCAACCGTTATCAAAAAGACCAGATATGTGTTAAATCGATAATACGTAGGTCTAGAAAGGGGGGGGGGGTGAATAAACCTACCCTCTAAAAGACAATTTCAAAAACATTTTAGGTCCCGTAAACGAAAGCAAAGATTTTAAGAAACACAAAAGCAAAAGACAACACTAAGAGAGCTTGAAACCATCTTAATGAATTAAACCAATTGAAATATTAAAGGATATCACTAAATACTTGATTGAATCTAAGAAAATTCAATTACAATACAACTAAATCCGCTTTAAACAAAGCGATTTAAAAACACTTTACATAGATGTTCATTAAAAACATAATTGAACTTATGATGATTCAATAAGATTGATGCATCGAAGACCTAAGCCTGTACATTAAATATCTATAAGCATTGTCTAACCCAAATGACATACAAGCAGTGCAATAACGCAATAACACAATATCAATATTAATGAATGCTAGAGAATTAAAAGAGGTAAGGGAAGAAGTAAAAGACACACAAAAATATATAATGGTTCTACATTCGTCCTTGCTTCCCCTACTTCACTCTTCAATGGTGTTAAACAACCATTGGTAAATAATCACGATCTTCCATTATTTTGATAAGTTTGGTACAAAGTTTTAATTTACAACAAAATATCACAAGATAATTCTCTCTATTGATGAAGACACTCAAACAGCTATAAAAAAACAAGATCCCTAAAGATCTTGATCAAATAACCTTGTTATCCACAATAACTCTTATACCAAGTCACTGTGTGTGGAAATCCACCTGATCCCACTGATTTATTGTCTGAGAAATTTCCATATCTAAGCATTGATTAGACAACTCTCAACTTTGTATGCAACCATACTTTCCACATTCTCACAAAAGTTGGACATCTTCCAAATCCGCCTTACAAACAATCTGTACTAGGCTTCACCAAAGTCTTCCATGAAGTATAATGAAACTCTCTTCTTGGTAGATACACATAAAAACCAAACTGCATTGAAGAAATGATACCCTCACTTGTTACAAACAAAAAAATTCACACAAAAACATTAGATACCCTATTGTATCACTAGTCTCCCTTAACA